TTAGACATGTTTACGGAAACAATGTTTTTGTTTTTAGTTTTTTGTAGTGGCATGGCAAATGCACAAAACTTAATTATACTCGTACAATCTTATTGATAAACACTATATTATTACAATTATTATGATACTGACCTCACTCAACTAATTTGATTATCTTGCGACTGATGGGAAATACGAAAGTAAAGTAAAATACATAATGTTAAAGTTAAGAGAACACGAAGCTAATCTACTTATACCTAATTTAAAACTTTGAAATGCGAGATCAACGTTATTCTAACTGAGATGCCCTTTTTCATTACTGTATATTCGTTTAAATTCACTCAGTATTCCAAACGGTTTACGCGTTCATTAAATTACTTAATCGGGGCCACAGACATAATTCAGATAGATGTCGCATGCACCCCAATATACTAAACCAAAAATACCATAATATTCTGCTTACTGTAGAAACACAAAAACTAGACTAGCTTTCGCTGCGACTTCGTACTCGGATAATGGAAGTAGGTAACTACTTGTAGATGACGTATTAAGATAAAACATACAGCAGATTTAAAGTTAAACCTTTAGGAATACAATACTGGAATATATAGGAATCAATTTGGTGCAAATGTGATTGCTCACATTATTTTTTCATAATATTTTTTTTATATTGTTAAAAGTATTATAATTGTATTATAATAACTATGCATTATTATAATTATGCACTAAATTGGAAAACAACGCAATCTTTGTATATTTTTGTTGAACATCCAGAATTTTTCGACACCAATTTCATGTAAATGTCAACTTGGAATTGACATTTTGCTTGGGAGAGAATTTTTATTTAATAAATAGTTTATCCAAGAACAGCATGGTTTATGAATGCGAACGTCGAAAATTAAGCAATTCTTTCCTCAATGATTGTCCATACTATCCCAGCTCGTCAATATTCTTTTACGATTTCTTATGCTAAAATTAAAATAATCATAATACGGTTAGGACTATTCAATAATTTTATAGCCTGGTTTACGTAAATGAACCATAATTAGGTGTAGCTGGTAGCCTATCCAAATAGTGCGATTGCTAAAAAGAGAAAAAATAAAATAAAAAATTATAATTACTCTGATACTTATCATCTCTCTTGTACAAAAATTACTAACGCAGCATGAAAATCGGCAACTTTGAAGTGGGACTGGGCAGGACATATGTCGTATACCAAGCGATAGGTAGGTCCAAATATACTCGTATAAATTTTGTCTAAGGATGCAAGATTGAAGTTGCACAAGACCTCGTATATGATAAAGAAATGAACTTGACCGAGTCCATAAAGACTAGTATATCTTACCCATCAGTCATGAGGGTTGAAAGCAATTGGCGGCCTTTTGTGCAGCAGAATAATGCCATAGGTTATGACTGACTAACTAGGTACAAGACACTCGGAAAAGCCATATTGGCCGAAGTATTCAAAAGAATTATACTACCTCATCCCACGAGGATGTACTAGAAACTTTATCCTTATACTGAAGACTGCCCGTTCCTTCGAATAAATGAGTTATCGATCTTCTACCTGAACTGCGCCTTGAGGCTATAGAATGGTATTTCCATGACGTAATTATTTCTTCTTAATAAAATACAGAGAGTAATATCTATATTTTTTTGTAGAATGAATAAGTATTTAAAAAGACGACATAGTATGAAGACATGTTGACGCAACCATTTCCGTCATCAATTGTCCACATTTAAAGACTATACCGTCTTTGTCTTTATAGAGGGCTCTTATTATATGTCAATGAACAGAAGAGTGCCTTTGTCAAAACAACTTTGAATTGAGTCTATCGCAAATGATCAAAGTATGGTGGTATATTATAAAATATATGATGGTATATTCGTAATAAACAACAAAGACAAAAATACAATCATCTCTAATAATATATATATTACAGATTTGAAATCTCTTCCTCTAATTACAGTAGACGACAATGTGTTTAGTACGTGCGTTTTTCAAGGCACTTTCTTCCACGCACAACCATTCTTTGGAATCAACTTCCAGCAGCAGTATTTCCGAACCGATACGACAACATAACCTTCAAGAAAAGAGTATATTCCTTTTTAAAAGGCCGGCAGCACACCTGCAATGCCGCTGGTGTTGTGGGTGATCATGGGCGACGATAGTCACTTACCATCAGGTGAGCCGCATGCTCGTTTGCCCACTGTGTTTATAAAAAAAAAATCTTAGATTACTTGCAAAACCCTCCTTATGAAACCTTTCCCGTAAAGGAATTTTTGCCAGTAATTTCCATACTTAACAGGCGAGTTGGCAACCGCAATTAGACTTTGCTTATGTTTAAAAGGGAAGCTGTTGCCCATTCCTAAACCATTAAATTGTCTTAGTCGTCTCTTAAGACACCCACGGGAAAGGAAGGGGTGGCCCTTTTTTTTATATTTGCCGTGCGGTCCCGGCTATCAGGAGCCGGCTTATGGGCATATTATTAGTAGGATATTTAACAGTCAAGATATCATAAAAATGAAATCTGGTACAATATACATGGCACGCAAAAGTATAGTTCTTTTTAATGGGTAATAATAGATTGGTTGATGATTGATGGATAGATGAGGATGAAGCAGGTTAGTTAACCCATCGTGACGAATTTAACAAGAATTGTCACGATGGTTTCCAGGGGGAACCACGTGAAGGTCGACCTAATAAGGCATATTACTAACAATGGGGCTATCAAACTTAATTGCTAACCCCTTTTCCGCCGCAAAAGTATAGCTACAGTGCCTATTTATAATCTACGTCTATGATCGGAACGCTTGTCCTCTCAAACGATCTTCACCTTCACCCGCGTCAGCTGAACTAGTTTCGTAACTCTCATCGCGATACACAACTATTGTATGCATAAATCCCATTAATAATATAACATTATATCTCAACCACAATGCCGTTGATCTGCTTACTCGATATTATGTAAATTATTATTTTACACACAATGCACAAAATTTTACATCGAGTTTCGTGACTTCTGAATCAATAATCTTAATGTTTTAACATGCACTCATTATTCACAGATATAATTCCTCGATTTACATTTTTTAAAGATCTGTATCGAAAAGGAAACTTTTGTTCTGTTATTAACATTCTGTCGGTCTAAAGCATTGTCTATGTATATATATTTTCAACTATCTTTATAAAAAATTTCTCAGATGAATTACTAAAAAACTAAATATGAAGTTTTACACATAGTACATCTTAAACGTCATAAGTGAACGCTAGAAAGGGGATTTTCGGTTACAAATTGCTACGAAAACGGAAAATACTGTTTCGGGAGATACTACGAGACACAGCTTATTGAAATACAGATTATTATTATAAATGTGAAAGTGAGTTTGTTTGTTACCTTTTAACGTCTTAACGGCTTAACCACTTACTATAAAAATTGGCATACACGTACTATATGGAGAATGGACGTATGGAGAATCCTGATCAAGCGACATATCCCGCACGATGTCACAATATTAAAAATGCGAAAGTTTGTAAGGATGGATGGATGGATATTTGTTACTACTTGGCGCTAAAACTACTAAACAGAATTGAGTGAAATTTGGTACACGGGTAAGGTATGTCCTAACTTATCACATAGGATATTAGATATATATATATATATATATATATATATATATATATATATATATATATATATATATATATATATATATATATATATATATATATATATATATATATATATATATATATATATATATAATCTAATTTGATATTTATTGCTGACGCATACTTATAAAATTCCTTTAAAACAAAAGAAACTTTAGTTTACGATAAGGTAAAAAACCACATTTCAATACCTAATTACTTTGATCCGTGTAAACTAAGTTACCAACTCGCTATTAATTTTATAAGACCTTATCAAATCAGACAACCTTCGTAAGTTTACGAATAGATTCGCAATTTCACCCCTCGTGTATCATTAAGTACCTAATCCTCAACAAGTTTAAGTGGCAAGACAGGAATAGACATAAATATCTATGATATTACAGTTCAGAACTGACTACGCGTCACAACAGTAGCTGTGAAATTAGATTAAATTAGTGAAAATGTTTACCGAATACTATAACAATGTCACATGGATATATTTATGTTGCTAGATAACAACGAAAACTGATGTTTTTAGAGCATATAAATTCTCTATACATCGTTATCTAAAAAAGCAAATCCAAAACTTATTCGAATTTAACAGGACTTTAATTACAAATTAGGTTTATTTATTAGCACAAAAGAGATCCAAAATTTAATAATTGCAATACAAATTCGAACATAGTAGCTTATTAACGGGGGCCTAGTGAAATAGATTGCGGCGCTTTGAAATCGACTTCAATGAGACAGGGACCCTCCCATACTTATTTGCGATGCACCTGGTACCGTAGTAGTACCTGGGCGCTTCAGAAAGGCTTCAAAGACCCTTTGCTATTAATAATACCATTAAATAGAATGGTTCGCAAAAAGGGTACTATGACGTTAATTTTATTGATCTAAATTGGAACTATGACATACGAATTTAATGACAATAACTACTAAATAAGTATTAAACATATGGGATTTTTTTAGTTATGTTACTTTAATTTAAAATTTATAATCATGTTTTATGAAATATATCTAAAATCAACGGTATCATGTCTGTATCCTTTATTGTTTAAGAAATTGTTTATATACTGAAACTAAATATCCTCTAAAAGCAAATAAATTACTTTTATAATTAGATTTTCCTTATTGCTTTAAAAGGCAAAAAAAAATACTACCTTATTGCTGTTTTTAACATGTGACATGTAATCTGTTATAACAAACGTAAAATAAAACTAAAAATATGTTTGTCCGGAAAAACTACTCATGAAAATAACTTTGTTTTGTAATTACGATAATCGTCGTAATTATCTTAGTTTTTTGAGATATTGTACAATGTTTAGGTTCAATATAAAACATCTTCAATTATGATAATTTGTTCCAGGTATTGAATGCCTACATATGGCGAGCGGTGTGAGCTACGGGGTCTCTCAACTAGTACTAGATGAGACTCGGTGCGCTCTCGTTGACCAATGAGAACGGCGCACGGGAGCATGGATGGGCCGTAGGATGCGCGTCACTCCGGCGCTTTACCTATTGCTGCTGATCTATACACGTGTCTACACATTCATACCTGGCGTTGACGGTACGTTAATATTAAATAAATATAATAAACTGAAAAAGTTTTGTCTAAATGCGGTAATATCTGGAAATACGATATCATTTGAATATAACCACGGGCGAATTTAAAGAATATAACTAGTATAAATATGTACTTATTTTAATTGTAAAATCCAAATCTATATTAGTAATATTACAAAAATGAGAATGCATTTTTTGATGGCATCTATCACCTGCGGTATGAAGGAAAGGACTGCCGAAAAAAGAGTAAATAAAGGAAGTTTGTAAAAAAGACTGAAAGATTTATGGGGGAAAGGAAAAGAGGGACATTGCAGATGCTGAAGAGATACTGGTCAGAAACTGCAGCGGCTCGGGAAGCCGGAGCGACATACTCATATGCCCTTACTCTAAAACCGGTTAGATTACTAGAGAACACCCCTACAAAACAAAGAGAACAATTTTGAAAACATTCATCAAAGATAATGTAAAATTAAAAGCGTCTTCACACAATTACATTAATTTTGCATTCTAATTATTCTGTAACGATAAAATCGTGCGTGCTATGATAAAACATAAAAGCGTCCATTACTTCTTTCATTACATTATATTGAATATTACACCGCTATCCTCAGTTTCTCATAGGGGGCGCCCATTAATTATACGAGCTTAAAATGGGGGGAAGGGTCTGGGAAAATCTCATTTATAAGGAGGGAGAAGGGTCAATGAATGTCTCACGTCAACTTTATTCTTCACCTATTTCACTGAAAAGAACAAATATAGTTAGTTTTTATAGAATATAATGAAATGAAAATGTACAAGTAATTAAGTTTTGTTGAAATTATAACAGAAATACGATCCAAATTAAATTAAATAAATTATACAGCTATAGGACATCAACAATCTGTTTATGTAATCAATTTATTCTTTGTTTATATTTTCAGTCAGTTCTACTGAAAATATCAATCTAATTTATATAATGCATACAGTAACATACGAGTATAATGGATAAACTAGTGTCTTACCAACACTCGAATTAAAAAAACTTATGCGTAGTTCATCACCATCATCATCATATCAGCTTTTAACTATCCAGTGCTGATCATAAGCTTTCCCATAGGTGAGTTTTACCAGTAGTTGCCATGCTTGGCAAGCGAATTGCTAAATGCATTTAATCTTTAGAGATGTTTTAAGAGAGATGCTGCTGCTCATCCCTCGCCCTTTCCAAGGCGCCTCTTACGATTTCCACGGAAAAGAAAACAGTAGCCTATTTTTTGTCGAAGTCACACGGGAAAAACGTATTTAAAGAAGTTAATATAATGTATTCGTAATTATGAGACATTTTTGATATTTGACCATACTGTTTAGTTTAGCAAGCATTTTAACAGACCTAAAAAAGTGCAGGTTCTCATACCCTATTTGGATTTTATTGCTTTTTTTTGTGTAATAAAATCTAATTATAATTGACAAAAACCGATAGCTACAAAGCAAGAAACCACATGTTTTATTCTCATAGAACTAATAACAAATTAGTATTTTGTATATAATATACTTCCCCAGTAATCACCGACTAATTCCTATCTACTTAGGAACGTACTTTTGTATCGACAATTGATACCTATATAATGCCAAGTAACACGTCCCTAAGTAAACTTCAAGTGATTGATTATTTCTTCACGTTCATGAATACTTAATACAAACTCGCTGGATTTCGAATTGTTTTACCCTTTCCATTACACTGTGTGTGTACTTAAACATACTACGTAGATACAATCTACTTCACATGGATTAAAGCAGCAAAGTTGATTCAAAATTATCTTAGTCAATATTTAGTAGTAGTATTTTATTAATATATTTCTTTACTAGCTGTATCCCGCAACTTCGCCCGCCTGATCCAATACACAAAGTACTCTGTATGTTAATTTATGACCTACCCGTGTACCAAATTTCATTCAAATCCATTCAGTAGTTTTTGCGTGAAAGAGTAACAAAAACCCATACATCCATCGTTACAAACTGTCGCATTTATAATGTATTAATAGAATTGACTATTACATATAAATTATATTATAATCTCAATTTTTATATAAATAATACAAATTTAAATGTATGCTGTCAAAAACTATATTCTAATGACCATCCAAAGTGGTTAATAATGTGAAACATTATAATGAATCATATTTTCTATGTAATTAGTGACATTTTTGTTTAGCTAGTAACTTATACAGAAAAAAAAAATCTGCTTTAATCTTTACTAATATTACAAAGAGAAAAGATTTACTTGTTTGTTTCTTTTTTTTTTTAACGTGTAAAGTCTATAAACTACCTACTCAACCAATTGTCAAATTCTTTTGTAATTCTTCTGTAAAAAGCTACATTATCAGCTAGTGACATAAGCTACATATTACTCTCAAAAATTCTATCTACTTGTGGAAAACCAAACTAGTAATAAATAAATGTAAAAGTTAATTTAACTTAAGTCACTGTAACGGATATATCTTATCACAGGGCCAGTATCCCAACAAGAGGCCTTGGACGGCGGCAACACTACCTTACACTGTAACTCGTCGGCCGACACTTCTGATGAACAATTTACGTTGCTCGTATGGTACAAGGACAACGTACCTATTTTTAGGTAAGACTTATTAATTTACATCTCCTTGATATGTTAGTTCACTAGTCGGTGATTTAGTAACTATGCGGTCGATTGTGTTTAGACAGTGACGAATAAACTCCAAGTGGGTTTTTGTTTGTGCTGTCTGTGTTCGTAATATCATGGGCGTATTTAGAGGAGGTCCGGATCTCAGAATTGTCTGGTATTTACCAAAGGCTAAAACCAAACTTCGAAAAAACATGGATATGCTATGGTAAAAAAGCGCATATTTACTCTCAAATAGAGTACATATACGCTTTTTAGGCGGTCAGCCTCCCCCCCCCCCTTCCCCTCCTCCAACTTGAAAAATGTATTAAATACACATTGATGTATTTGATACATATTATGCATCAAATATTGATTCTTTAGCAATAGCAAAATTTGAACAAAAATCTTCTGCATGGGTATTTTTGTCACATTTATGTTTCCGCGTGTAGCAGCCATGCTTACATGGCTTTGGCGTGGTTTTCATTTATGTCATAATGATAGTGAAAATGTAGGGTATGGGGAACCCTAGTCCTTAAAAATGCTAACGCATGAGGGTTACTGTAACATCCATGGTGGTCGTTAGTTATTGCTATAACATCAATATATTCTCACAGTATAAGGCTTTGCTTTTATTACTGCTATTTATTTTTTATTTATTTGAAAAAAAAAGAATAGAAAAGAAAGAAAGCGGTAGCGATCTATTTGGCGAAAAAAAAACACTCAATGACACATACCTAGTGCTAATATGCATACATTAAAATATATATATTCTTTATTGCACTTGAAACAAAAAAGATACAACGATTAGTTTAACAACTTGTTAGCAAGGGAGGGCTTATCTAAAAGAGATCTCTTCCAGCCAACCCAATGTAATGAGAGAGAAAATACTTGTATATACATATATATATAATTATTTCACATACTGTAACGAGAGAAGTAGATGTGGAAAGAAAAATTAGAAACTAAATTATTTTGCTTAGATATTATTCTGGAATAGAAAAAAAATACATAGATATAATATAGATACAAGAGATAACATATCTCTTAAATTATTTATTTTTGAAATCTTTTTCTACACATAGAACAATTCTTGAATTATAACTATCGTAAGTTATGCTGTATTGTAATTATTTATATTGAAATTAGTCGATAGAAAATAATTACAATTATACAATTCAATAGATATTTTATTTGATGTAGCCCAGCATAGAATAGGCTAACCCTTCCGTTTCTGTGGTTGTCGGAAAAGGCAACTAAGGGAACTTAATGGCAGAGGGATTGGCAGCAGCGTCCTTCTTAAATCATCTCTAAAAGCCTAACTGCGGTTGCCAACCAGCCTGCCAAGCGTAGCAACTACTGGCAATACTCCCCTCATAAGGAAGACTTATGTTCAGCAGTGTACTGTTAACGGCTGAAATTAATTCTTGAACAAAAAGATATCTTTTTATTCTATATAACTGTAAAATATGACACCTCCTTTTGCAGCGTTGAAATTTATATAATATATAAATTCCTTGACTACATTCCTATATATTTCACTCTCTCTCTCTCTCTCTCTCTCTTCGTCCTCTTCATTACTGAAGGTCCTTGAAAGGTGTCTATTGCCTCTCTTATGATGTTATTCCATTTTGCACGGTCTTCTCGCAGGGCAACTGCAATTGACAGTCCCGTAACGGCGGTTACTTGGTCCAACCATCGACTAGGCGATCGTCCGCGTGGTCTTTTTCCCTCTATCTTGCCTACAACCATTAGTTTGTCCAGATTGTCGGACTGTCGTCGAGCAACATGACCAGAGTATCCAAGAATCCTCCGATAGCAGACTGTCGAGAGCCTATCTTTTATGCGGAGTATATATTTCACTAATTAGTTCTAAATATATCATACATTACGATTATGAGTAAATATAAAAAGAGATTCACCTTGAACTTAAGAATAAGAGATATTAATAAATAATTTTGCGTAACTATTGAGAGTGTTATATTCATCATGCTAGTTTCTTAACATTATTATTAATGTATTCAAAGTGTTTTATCGTATATCTATTATGTAACTAAAATTAGTTAAGCGCGATATTTATACATTTAAATAATATATTTATAGGTATCATAAGGTTTCTTGAAAGAAAACTAGCTTTTTGCCTAAATATTGTATTTTATTTCTAAAAGTTTCGTAAATACACATTATATTTTACCTGTTTGCATAACTGGATTAACTTCTATGTAATTTAATTGAAATGTGGAACCCTTAATCATAAGCGGCCGTAATGCGAGCGCAAGCCTTACTGATGATCCCGAATCCCGAAGCTAGACAAGCATACTCGACTAAAATACATTTACATTATTAAATTTGAGTGCATTTGACCACAATCTCATCTGATTTTAAGTGATGATGATATTCAAGGTATGATATACACGCAAACTCAAATAATGCCTATTCACTTTAGTTTTGAAAGACCTAATGTACTTGCCATATTGAAAATTGCTTTCGAAAAAACAAATGTTAAAACAAATATCAAATTGAATTATATATAAAAAAAAGATTGCTTGCCAAGCCGCCAGCAACAATATTCGATAACAAAAATTACCGGAACCGATAAATTTTTGATATTTTAATTAGGTATATTTTCTTAGAAAAAATCCGAGTTCCGAATACGTTCAGAGAAATGTGTTCACTTCAAAAGAGCTTCACTTTGAATAATTGTATAAATACTTTTATGTATTCAGAGAACTAAGTTGATTAATGTTAAACGCGAATAATTAATATATATGATCCTTAGACTTTTCAATAATTAAATCAATGCCAAACTTTGGTTTGAAATATTTCACTGCTCACGTATTAGATACAAACTTGTAATTTGAGGGTTAAAGTTCCTCATACTTGTCAACTGAAATTAACTGAAAACTACTAATTTTACCCACAATAAAATAATATAGAGCACATAAAAATCAGGTTCGAGATAAGGGTTGTATATTCCCCTGTTAAACTTAGATATAGAACATAAAAGTAAACCCTATCTATTGAAAAAAATAATACACTACTATTTTTTTTTAATTGATGATTAATGTAATAATAACTCCGCGTGCGCTAACGGTATACACTGATAAAGTACCAATGAGGGATGATAGGTGAGGATAAAGAGGCAGGACAATCGCTCCATCGTGGTGAATTCACCTGAAATTTCAGGTGAATTCACTGCACTGCTTAATTAAGCACGATCATTTCTAAAGGAATCAGGAGTAGTTCGTCCTGACAGGGTGTATTGAAATGGGGCAACTAATCCCCATAACTAACAATCATTTCCTCATTACACATACACTACATAGGATGTGTTTCCATATGACACTACTGGTACCCACTGGTGTTAAGTGACTTGCCTGACAATGACTTTACGTGCTCTTCAGAAGATTACTATCTATAAGGCTTAATTCACACTATAACAATCGGTCTCAGCTCGATCTCGATTTGGTAAGTAGAAAGACTTCTAGATTGAACATGAGTGCAATGGAACTAGGCTGCACAGATAGGTAGATATGAATACACAGATTGTTTCTTACATAATAATATTTTACCAGACCGAGATCAGATCGAGAAAGCGGCATTATAATCCAATATATAATCCAAACATTAATCTAAGTTAGAAATAAAGTCAGGTATTGTCCAACTGACCTATTACCATTAAAAATTTTACAAAAATTGCTTCGGAACTAGTAAATCATTTAGAAAAAAGATACCCACTACACTAATCGTATTTGAAATGAATTTATATCCGATTTTATTAAAACAGTAAATCTATTTAATACAATATACCTGGAGATATAGATAGATAAAGCTATTGTTAACAAATTATCGATTGATGTTAAACTTTTAACCACATTGTTCAGTTAAATACAAAAAATGGTTAGATTGCGTGGTTATTTATCTATCATCTCTCTCTGAATTCCCATTAATTGAATACAAAACATAAAATTCCAAAAGTAATCTTTATGAATATAATGGAAATAGAAACTTTTTGTGAGTTTTATAGTTGATTTCAAGTTATTTGTGTACCTATTATTTCACTGGAGTTGCCAGATATAATTTGTAATTAGGAATTCCTGTTACGTATAAAAAATCAATGTAAATTTCTTCAATACATATAGAATAAGAAACTAAACTAAAGATATTTTTTTCTAAGAAACATATGTTAAAAATTGACAATAAAATATAGAGTTTTTAAACCCATATATCTTTGGAGAAATTTACAGATCCACTAGTAGGACATTATTTAAAACGCTAGTAATTTCAATTTTATCTTTATTATTAAAGCTATAAATTTTACTAGTAGATATTGATCATATTTGTTACTATAATTATGTCTTATATTTTTCACCACACCTGTCCTTCATACGCTTTTTGTTTTTACCTAATTGTTAGCTGGTAGAGAATGCCATATGGCATTAAGCTCGCCACTTATACAAATTTTTATTGTGCAATAAAGAATAAATATTAAAATAAAATATTTTATTTGAAAACTATGAAACCATGAACCATGTATATAATTTGAACCTTTTACTATTTGCACGTAAATATCCAGAGCCACCAGATAAATTATAAAATTATTAAAGTAAAGAAAACGAAATTAGGTTACAAATGAAAATTGGTCAATGTTCTCATTCGATTAATTAGCAAAAAGTCGCTCGATGAGACTTGGATACCAATCTTCGTCACTTCGTCAGGATAGGCGTTACCCAGATAATGTTGGTCACTTCATTGATCCTTGTCTGACTAGAAGGACATTTAGCCCTGACATGGATAAAATAATAATATTTATTTCCTCCTTATTATAACACTATCATTAGAAAATAATATCCAATAACTTTACCATAATATCTGATTGTGAAATAAATATGGCGGTTATAAATTGTCAAATCTGACAGTTTACGGGCGCCATATTTATTTTACAACCATGTAGCCTACAGCATCTTTACAATGAAGATAAACGATACCTCATTTATAAAAACTATCAAGCCTTTTAAGAGTCCTTTCTTTTTTTTCAGTGGAGGAAATACTGAATTTTATTTAATCCTTACTAATATTATAAATATAAAAGTGAGTTTGTTGGCTCTTGGTATCCTAATGGGTTTTAAAGAACAAGATATTTTAACCCAATTATTTAACATATTACAGACGATGTCGCGAGTAAAAACTAGTTACAACATAAGAGGGACTAATTAATTTAGAAAGGACTAGATTTACTTTATATACCTAAATTAACAGGGTTACTCATTAAACTCGAGACACTTATATATCACTGATCATATTTGAATATAAATGAGGGACAAATTTACTGCCATCTCTCGGATTAATTACATTTGATAACAACATTTTTCATCAGACAAATTTAAAATTATTACCTTTAGAATCAAGTCTCGATAGTACACCACTAATCTCTCAATCCCTATAAATTTCAGTCAGTTTGATAAGCAGGTTTTCATTAAAAACAAATTGCTACTTAATTCCTGAAAATTAATATTATTGACTAACAATTTCCCTGTTCTCATTACAAAACTAATAACTACATGTATATTAAACTCCGCAAAAAACAAGATTTCATTCTACAAAGAAACAAATGCTTCTGTCTAGAAATTAACATATACATTACACAATTAATTAACATAATAATAAACCCTGTCGATTGCAAAAGAATTAATAAAGTCAATCAGAATTAATATATTGCTAAGGTTGGTTGCCTGGAAAAGATCGCTCTTAGCGATAAGGTCGCCCATTGTTTTCTCATTATGATTATTTCTTGTAATTATTTATATTTATAATAAGTTTACTATTGTAATCTTTTGGAGGAAACAATAAAGAATATCTATCTATCTAATTATACAGGCATAAAATACAACCGAGTTTCGAATCTCGCTCTTTAGTAAGTTGCTTTAAAAAAGGAATGTTTTCTTTTTGATAACCTGCTAATTTAAATGTAAATAATCAATATTCATGATAATATAATTATTATAAAATACTTTCTAACGCGTTAAAAGTTGTTTTCTCTTACTGGGGTCCAAAAATCTTATCTTGTAAATTGAAGCAAACAATACACATGTACAAAACTTCTTTAAAATTGGTCGACCGGTTAGGGAGACTAACGTGTAAATATCAAGCATTGTAGCACGGAATTTTCATATACTTATATTACAAAGTTACAATTTAGCGCAATTTTACATTTTTTTTATTTACATTTACCATTTGTTTACATTTTTTAAGTAATTCAAAATAAGCTTGTGTATATGAAACTGTAACAAAATCAATATACAGTCTAACTTATTGAATTTTAAAGCTTACGGCTTTATTTACGCTTAAGATTTACTTCAAAGTAATATCTCTTTATAAGTAAATCTGTTGTGACTATATTCCACTAAAATTGCGATATATTTTCCTTTCATCTTTTCCACCCTTTTCTATGATATACTTTCATTTGCAGTTTCGACACACGTGTAGAAATCGAATGGTCGAACGAGGGCTTCAACAGAAGCGGCCGAATAAGAGCGGACGTAGTAAGCCAACCCACGGCCCTTACAATATCAGCCCTCACGGAGGACGACGAAGACTTGTACCACTGTCGCGTTGACTTCCTCAACTCACAAACTAGGAACATTGGAGTCAATTTGACTATTACAGGTATTTATTTACTTATTTAAATATACATATAGATATTCTTTCATCAGGCTGAAATCATTTCCCTTACCTTTCCTTTGAGGGGCTGTTCAAACGAAAAAAACATATTTTAAAATGAAAAACGAGTAAAATTTATAATATACTGTACAAACTTAACTGGAAGACGTATTTCATGTGTTAAAGAGGTTCTCAATTCGGCTGTATTTTTTTATGATTATTTCTTCATAACTCTATCAATTTTAAACTAATTTTAAAAATATTTTTTATCTGATAGGATTACGGATTGGTCCGAGAGAAATTTTATCAAAATTGGTTCAGTCGTTTAGTTTTTAAAATTACTGGTTTTGTCGCAATTGACGTAGATTTTTTTGTAGGATATAATCATATCCAATTAAATTATTGTATTTAAATTCATGTTACTCAAACAAAAGGTTTAGATTCAAGGAATCTTTGCTTAATTTACAGTTGTTAATGGCCTTGAATTTCATCTATATAAGCATCCATTAATGTCCCACAGATGGGCATCGACCTATATCCACAAGAAAAGTATTAGCCTAACTAGAATGGCATAGTATAGCATAGTATTAGAGATTTCATTATAAACATTAGGTATATAAATATTTACCAAACATAAACCAGTCCCGAGTTTATGTTTCTTCCGCCATTTTAATTATCTCAATTTAACATCATCCAAGGTCCGTTCCGTCGTTTTAGAATGCAGACTAAAAAAAGGCAAAAAACCTTTAACCCACTTGTCTTGTCTAATCCATGAGATTAGACTTTACGTATTAACCATGTAAACCACCTGACCCTCTATCAATTACTTAGTATTTTATACAAATATGTATTTATATACTGGAAAGAAATTAAAAAGAAAATTATGATTAATAAGTATAGAAAAAATATTCTTACAAAGATTTCTTTAACTAAAAAAATTGAATGTTCTTTATAATCCATTTGAACTGAAAGCTATTTTAGTATTCTCTGTGTAAAAGATTTATCTTGAAGTACGTAATAACAAAAAATTAAATATTTTATGTATATTTAAAGAACCATTAGAACTGGGCTCAACTGGTCACGTCAGCTGAATGCCTGAGTACGAGGAAAAACTAAGTGCCTACCATTGAAAAACGTCCGCAAAATGTCAATCGACGACGCAGATGTAGGTAGCGGGATATTTTGTCTCCTACTTACAGGAAGGACTGAACTATTAAAGTCCAAACTATATAGAAATAGAATGAAGGGGAACGTTCTTTGTATAAACGTGGACATTATATATATATATATATATATATATATATATATATATATATATATACATGATATTACAAGAGCTATATAGGTCTTGTAATATCAATGGCATCATCATAACATAGACCTTCCCCATAAGATGTTTTTACCAATAATTGTCACGCTCGGCAGATGTGTTACCAATCGCAGTTAGGCTTTGGTGATGTTTTTAGAGGGACACTCCTGCCCATCCCTCGACCATTAAATAATTGTTATATACGAGTGTCATTTTATCATCAGCATCATCATTTCAGCCACTATCCGTCCATTGCTGGATATAAGCCTCTCCCATAGGCTCTCATAAAGAACGGTCCTGAGCTAAATGCATCCACTGACTTCCTGCAATGCATTTTAAGTCGTCACTCCATCTAGCGAGTTTGCTAACTACTAATGCCTACTCCGCACGGTTTTCTTAATAAAACACAGCCCATATTACTCGGTGATAAGTAACTTTCTTTCGGTGTAAGAATTTTAATAATCAGTTATATATTTAGATATTGTATTTAAAACATTTATACATAGTTTTACCATTTTATTGTAGAATGTAATAGCGTATTTATAAAGTAATACTATGAGTATTTTAAATAATGATAGTCCATCAAACACTCACAACACAAACAGTAAATTATATCATCATCATCATTATATCAATCATTAATTATCCACTGATGAACATAACCTCCCCCTGATGGGGTTTGGGAGGTAACAAATTATATACCAATACACTTATATAATATGGAGAAACGTAAATAGATACCTAAATATTTATTAATACAACTGTTTGTATTGTGCGGCGATCGAAGTTTAATCCTCAAACATATTAATACACATAATACTTAATCGAAATGCCCATATTTCTCTGAAACTACAACTACCTACTACTGCCGCCGTAAATAGCTTGCATCTAAACTACAGTTTAATTAGTTACAAACCATTAGTGATTTAAGTGCAATGGTCCGCAGTTTGCATATTTTTTACATCAAAACTGAACATAAACTACATGTGACTGCAAGAGGAATGCAAATAAATCGCTTTTTAAATCTCCTTTACATTCTCATATAACGTCATAGCAATTTGAGGTATGACGTTTTCGTTTGTATAGAACTAACTAAATGTTTACGGAAATTATTGATATATTATATAATGAAATGTAATGTAAATTGGACTCTCTTTTTCGCGCTTAGCCTCTTATTTAGGCCGTTGTGCGTACATATAATTATATATATAAGACAATTATATATTATATACTTACATGTATATTACATATATTTATTAGTCCTAATATGTTTAGTAGGGGATAATAAATAGCTTCTATGAAAAAAGAGGAGTGTTATAAGTTTGACGTGTCTGTGTGTCTGTTTGTGGCATCGTAGCTCCTAAACGAAAGGACCAATTATAATACGATTTTTTTTGTGTGAAAGCTGACGTCATCGAGATGATGCTTAGCTATGATTTATGAAGATCTGTTTAGACGTTTCAAGATAATTAGTTCCTTTTATAGGTTTTTGTGTTAGGGCTTTTTTTATTTTTAATAAATTTATATTTATGTATGACAAACGAACTACAACAGTATTTTTTATTAATTAAAACATTTAATGCAAGAAAATTACGTCCTAAACGTAATATAAAAGAAACTCAATTTATTACCTTCATTTAAAAATAACTATTAAAATCAATTTGGAATCGTTGATGATGTAAATATAACGGATGTAAACATCAAAATAAATATACAGCGTGAAATCAAAACGATCTCACTTTTCCTTCATAAACCATTTTCTATATTATAGCATTTGTTAATGATATTGAAACTGTCTAAAGTAACTTTAATAATGGCCGAAAAAAAAACTAAAAAAGTACTGATAACAATTGTAAAAATTTATATTATATACATTTATCAGTTGTTCCATATACATGTGCTAGAATTCAACCTATTTTGAAATAATCTTTCACGACGTCACAAGATCATTAAGTAACTCTATGCTTGTAAATATTATTTTGTGAATTTGCAATATTGATACAATATTGCAATACTGAATAGTAAAATCGTATACAAGCCTGCTACTTGCTTTGAGTAACAAAACGTAATGTTTATAAATGTAAATCCTCGGAGGAGTATCAAATATATTTCACTGTATGTACCAGATTTTAGAAACTGTGCAAAAGGTTTCGTACGAAGAAATGTGAAACGAAATAAAATAAAGCCTATGTTACATGAGACTCTTGTTATTTGAACGTTGAACAGGCGAAACATACAATTTCTAAGTAGGAGGTACACGATACGAGATCAGCATGCCCTTACGTACACACTTGTACATTCTATCTAATGTACAATTTATTGTAAGTACCTACATAATAGTTTAATTGAAACGTGCGCCATGTAAATCCTGTTATATATACATGTATACACACAAATTCTTGTAGATAGATAGGTTTAGTTACCAGAACATTGATTTTTAAAGATCTTGATTTTTATAATGAAGTACAAATGTTCGCCTTATAGTCTAAAACATGCAAATTCATTGATACTTAGATACAAGTTATTATGCTAAACTATCTCAATATTATGTCAATTATTCATTAGATTAACATTAATAAAATCATAATAGTATGTTAAACAATCAATCAATTAAAATAAATTACATTCTATTCAATATCAATGCTATTTAATAAAAAAAGTACAAATTATATAATTGTGTAGATAATGTAATACTTATGTACCCTCACATACTACCTATACTTAATATTTTCGAGTTATTATATTTATTTATTATTATATTTATTTACATTATATTATATTATATTACCTTATCATATTATATAAATATCATTATAGCAAATGTCTATATGTATTTGTTTAGTTATAAAAATTACACTCATAGAATAGATAACTTGTTTCTTTGTATATTTTCTTACTGAAACAATTTAAAAGAAATTAAGTACCAAAAAGTTTCTTTAACAGAATATGTTGTTAGCTACGTGTATTGCGTAAATAGGTAAGTACTTATACATTATTTATATATAAAAACATTGTACTACTACGTTATAATTTATAAGTATCTAAGTACCAGACGTAGGCTTTGTATAAAAGTCGTCCGCTTGGGGACAGAGACATTTCATATTGTCCCACTCGTGTTTATGCCGCAAAGTAATTTTCGCATAGCTGTTTCAGTTTGAAAGATGAAATATGGCATTTAAGTTAAAAGATACAAAGATATAACATCTTAGTCCATAGAAATTGCAACACATACGCATAGCTACCATGGGCACCACAAAATATTTTTGATAGCCATAATGCTGTTCATATCTATAAATGACGGTTATCACATTCCATCTGGTGATCCTTAAACTCGTTTGCCATTCGAGATTGAATACAAAAAAGAAAACAAAAATTTTGAATAACAAATTAGAATAACAATTGAGAAATAAACAAGAATATTGAAAAGTTCTAAGTAAGTCTTTTATCAAAATCGTGTTGTTGTATATACGGAACAAGGTACGATAGAAGTGACATCATTATTTTATGTACAAAATTCCCTAACTAAATACAGAAAGAAAATCTTTTATCGTTGTGCTCCATCGGGAAATAGACAAGTAGGCCGCTAGAAGCGATTCTTCTAGTAAACTTTCCGTCTCAATACTAGTACCATAAAAATAAGGACTAGGTAGAAGTGGCACACCCGCTAATCCCATAAAAATACCACGTTTGTTGCACG